TGTAAATAAGCGCTAGCTAATAAACCTTGCTGATTGAACCTACACGGTCTCCAGGAGTTCCTTGGGCTAGGCCTGACAGTTGGGTCCTCTTGCAAAGGCACCTGAGATACTAGAACTGGTAAGTTATAATATTCTTTATATTCTCTGGTATAACATGTTCTACCAAAACAGTGATCTGGTCCATACATCATAGCTTAGTGCATTTGATCAGCTCAGCTACTTGTGGGTTATTCAATAAACCAACATTAAACCACCATGGCATAACATAAAAGTGCACAGCTTTTGTCAGTTCAAGGGCTATGCCCGGCTTTTTGTGGAATGTCAAAGCCTACATTCTAAAAGTGGGTTTAAGGTACTGAATTAACTCCTTAATCCCCATCCGTGCCACTTTGCCCCACCGACTCTGTTTTGCCCCCCCTGCTTTAGAACGACGCGTGAACCCAGGCAGAAAATCCACGGTCAGATGAATTTATACAGCTCCTCCCTCAAACTGCAGGAATAAAGGAAACACTTAACCAAATTAAATACTTAGCCGGTAGTCTCCTTGCACACGTCCCAATTAACGTCGTCCTTTCTTAGGCTGACGACCATTGAATTCAAAGGCTGGGTTCAAGCAACACGCTTGGCTAAAGGAAATGCTCGTAGCAGGAATAAACCCTGCGTAAACTAGCATGTTGGAAGAGCAAAGCCAAGCAGAACTTTCCTAGCTTGGGCCGTCTTTGACCTGCCCCCTTCCAAAGTGAGTAGCCTTGGATCGCGCAGCGCGTGCGCGCCGCTGCCGCGAAAGTCAGGTAATCCCGGCCAGGTGCGCGCGTACCTTTGGCGCAGGCGGGGCTCAGACGGGCTCGCCCCGCTTCCTCCTCCCGGTAGGGCGGGGTCTCGCTCCGGGGCAGAGCCGCGCAGCGCTAGGAGACTCCGCGGCCGACGGACGCCAGGCGGAGCAAGGAGCCGGCAGCGGGTTGTTTGGGCTAAAGCGAGCTCCGCGAGCCGGCCCAGCGCGCGTCGGTGGGCGCCCGTAGGATGCGGTTCGGGTAGGGGCTAGGGGAGGGAGTTTCTGCGCGGCGCCGCTTCCCGGCTTGTTGCGGAGAGAAGGAAACATGAACGGGGCCGACGGCGTAAATTTCAGGCGGCTGGCCATCCGCAGGAAATCCAACCCCAGCTTGCGCAGCTCGGCCCTCGTCTTCCAGGGACCCGCGAGCGGTTCGAGTCTTCTCTCCCCGCCGGGGCCAAGGCCAGCGCTCCCGGCGGCAGCAGGTACATTTCCCGGCTCCTCCGTTGGCTCCCCGCCAGGCAGCCGCCTTTCCTCTGCTCTTTGGCTCTCCTGGAGCTCTGCCCAACACTTGCGGGGTTAAGGTCGCGTTGCGATAAGAAGGGAGAGCCACGGGGGCGGAGGAAGCGCCCGGGCAGAATCCCCCTGAAGTTCCTCCCTGGCTTTTCTGAGCGGCTGCAAAGAGTCAGTGGAGCGAGCGCCTTTTTTGCAGCCGCTCCGAGGATGAGTTTCGGAGTAGTTTAAGGACTAAGCGAAGTATTAGGTTAGACATGGAGTATGTGCACTTGCCTAATAGGCTCTAAGGAGGTGTGTCGAAAAGCGCGCCAGGATTGTTTGCACTTCGGGCGAGGATCGCTTTAGTGTCAGGCAGTTTTGCTGCAGTCGTAGCGAAGGATGAACTCCTCTTACAGTCAAACTTGGTTAAGTCACGCTCTCTTTTTGCTGTCGGTCAGGCAATAACATGGGGTGCTAGCGCTGGGCTGCTTCTTGACCTGACCTGTCCACAGGGATGGAATGAGGGCAGCCAGAATGGGGAGACGGCTGGCATCGCGGGGAGAGGCCTTCTGAAAGATGAGTGTCTTTCCAACCAATGCGGTTTAAACCAAAAAATGCTTTGTTAAGGCTTCCTCATGTGTAGTAATTTTTTTTCTATTAATGTGAGAAGACTTGTTTGGCACCAGTTGTCCACCTTTTCCTCAAGAGCTATGAGTATATAAACAGTATCTCTCTGGACCACAGTGCATACATTTGAAAAAATGGATTGGGACCTATGAAAGTTATGTGGATAGGATTAGGGTTTTTTTTTTTTTTAGTTTCTACAGTGCCACAAGATTTTTTTCTTTTTGACCAGAGGTTGAAATGGCTCTCTCCTTGATGCAGTCTAGTCTATAAGACTCTTCCTACACTTGTCATCTCAAAGAATGTTTTGCTGATTCAGTGGGACTTACTTTTCTTCATAAGGAATCCTATTTAAAGTTTTTTCAAACTTCCTCCTACGCTTTGGCGACCAAACCAATGATAATTTAGGCCGGTGGTTCTTAAACTGTTTGACCCAATTACCCCTTTTCCTGGGCTTGAATAATGTCATTACCCCCACCAAAAAAAAAACCCAGCCTCTGTTGTTTTACACAAGTGTCTCAACAGCAGAAATCCCAAACTGGATCCTCAATTCACAAACAAGCAGATACAAATGACAAGCAAGCAAATTGCTCCATTACCCCCAGGATATGCCCAAATTGCTCCAAATTTAAGAACCGCTGATCTAGGCCAATTGGAAATATGGATGCAAACTCCCCCCTTCCCCCACCCAACCTCCTTGGTCTTGCTGAATTGTCCTTAAAGGAACAGCAATTTCTGTGCCAAGCTTTAACAGGCGTGCCCTATGAAACTTACAGGAAGTACAGCTATGCAAGAAAGATGGAAGTTGGAATTTAGCCTAGATTGGTTCTGAGTTCCCAGCATTTATCTAAAAGTCATAGGAAATAGGACATGCTTATTAAGAAATTAGGACTCTAACCAGCTATGCTTGAATTGATCATAACAGTGTTATGGTGAAATACTGCTGGCTAATATGGCAGAGAAGTAATTGTAGAATAGATATGTTTAGATGTTGGAAAAATAATTTTCTTCCAATGGCATCCCTTGACATTTCTGTTTCATAAGGAATACGTGATGGCAATTTATGGAATTGCTGAATTCCATTGTCCTAGAAAGTACTCCCCAAATTTCTCTCTCCTTTAGCAGTTGCTAAACACCAGTTTTAGTCTGTAATTATTGCTTGTACGGTCAGTGGGCAATACTGGGTGAAGCTTGTACAAAATATCAGTTTGTACAAATCTTGATTGGTTGAACAAACCATTATGGTATAGTTTGTGCAGAACAGTAAGTACAGTGGGAGAGTTTGCATTTTAAACTAAGCCAAACCAGACGCAGGCAAATATTGTGGAGTTTGCAATTAATATGGCTGAGTTAAGGGATATGCTGAAAAACTGCTGATTTCTAATAAGTAAGAAAGATGCTTGTAAGAACAGTGCATTTGGTCAGTTTGCATTGGGTTGAAGGGAGAATTGTTTTTTTTTTAGAAATGCCACACATCAGAGCTTTAGGAGTGGATGTGAGCATGTTTTATGATTAACTCAGTGTGAATATTAAAGATTCTGTCTACCCACAGAGGGAAAACATGTATCCAGAGATAAAAAGAGATGCAGTCATGATAGACCTGATATTTATGGCATTTATTATACTTTAGGACCTGTGAAAAGATAAGAAAATATTGTATTTTAATTTATTATCTTAATTAAAATTAATTAATACAGACTGTAAAAAATGTATCTAAGCTGGTGATTTACAAAAAGATTATTGGAAATGGTAGCCTACTCAGATAGAGATAGTCCTTGCTTAGTGACCACTCGTTCAGCAACCATTCAAAGTTGCGATGGCATTGAATGAGGAGACTTGCAGCCAGTCCTTGAAGTTGTGGCTGCTGCAACGTTTCTGCGGTCCCATGATTGCGATTTGGGCATTTGGCAACTGGCTCACAATCCCAATTATGACAGTCACAGCATCCCACAGTCATGTGATTACCATTTGTGACCTTCACTGCCGGTTTCCAGCAAGAAAAGTCACTGGGAATGAAGTTGCAAGTCGCGGTCACATGACATCACATAACGACTGCAACCAGAACTGCTGTTGTAATTTGGCACCATCATGTGATTTTTCGCTTTACAACCATGTCGCTTAGCAACAAAGTTCCTGGCCCCAATTATGGTCATTAATTGAGAACTATCTGTATTGCCTAAAATTGGAAAAAAAAGATGCCTCCATTAATTGATGAATAATAGCATAGAATTTGAGATACAGTTTATATGATCAGTTTATGTAAGGATATTAATAGAAAAGGAGCAAGACTGGAACAGGCAAGTTACTTCTCTCAAGATACTTGGACTTCTAGTCCGGATGCCCAGTGATGAAGAACTATGTGGCCTGTTGTCCATAACATTTGCAGGGGAAGAGCTGCCTGCTTGTGAACAAACCCAGAATCAGCCAGATTGGGGTGGTTTATAACTGCTTTTAATAATTAAACTAACGAGACGATTTATTGAAAAATTGTATCTTTTTATAGCTGAAGTACAAAATGTGATGATGCATAGTCCTAATACTGCCTGTGATTTTCATTCTTAAACAATGTCAGTTACTAGAAAGGAAAAAATATGTTATGTAATATTACCAGTAATTGAAAAGGGGAAGAGTTCAGCTACATATTTCTGTAATATACTTTTGTCTGGAGGAATAACTCCAGAGTTGACTAAATCTAGTTGACTAGCTATGAGAATACTGACCATGAAAAATGTTCTAAATGATTCATGCAACACACTAAGCCATCATTGTGGTTGCTTTTGGTTTAGCATGCTATGTGAGTTTAGTCATTGTTGTTTGTAAACAGTGTCTTATGGCTTAGCATTTTGTGTGAAGCTATGTATGGATTGTTCAGTAAGCTAAGTTTAACCAAACTATAGCTAATTGTGACATGTGAACATGTGGCATGTAAAAAGTTGAAAACAAAAACAGTTACTACAGGTAGTCCTCAACTTAGGACCACAATTGGAACTTGAACCTCCATTACTAAGTGATACGGTTGTTAAGTGAGTTGTGCCTGATTTTACAACCTTTTTTGCTGCAGTTGTTAAGTGAATCACCATGGTCGTTAAGTGAATCGCATGGTTGTTAAATGAAACCAACTTCCCCATTGAATTTGCTTGTTGGAAGGCCCCTGGGAAGGTTGCAAATGGCAATCTGATGACCCCAGGACACTGCAACTGTCATAAATACATGCCGGTTGCCAAACACCCAAATTTTGATCACGTGACCGTGGGGACATTGCAATGGTTGTAAGTATGAGGACTGGTTGTAAGTCACTTTTTTCAGTGCCATCCTAACTTTGAACGATGGTTAAATGAATGGTTGTAAGTCAAGGACTACCTATAGTTAAGGTTGTGTCCTGGTGAGCTCAGATTATGTCTGAGTATTGTGCATGCTCTTTTTCATTTGGGAAAGGTGAACAAGACCTTGAAAATGTCACCCAGCTCCACTGCTTGCTGTTTGATGTTGTGCTCATTCTCTTGGTGAACATAAATTCAGCCACAAAACTGCAGATACTTCTTTCATGTAAGGCGTTTGGAAATATGTTAGCTATTTGAGTTATTGCTGGGGGGAGAAAATTTTTACAACTGCAGCATTACTGGATAGATAGCCATTATTCTATTTCCTTTTTAAACGTACATTAGTGCTGATCTGTAGTTTTTAAAATTTTCAGCACATTTTTATAGCATCCTTGTTGCTGACTGCAGCTCTTTAAGTAGTCCACCTGCCTTTAACTATTTTCTAAACTAGTTCAGCATTGCAATGAAAAGGAATATGGAAGACTTGTTGACACTGTTGAAAGTGTTGGGGAGTGTTAGGGAGAATGATAATATACTTCCATAATATAAACCAGTGTTACCATAAACAGGGAATGAGTGGTCTCCAGAAAAAGTATTAATTATATATTGATAAATAAGCTCTAGAAACCCCTTTCAGAGCAAGATTTCCAGCATGATTGCCATGGTGTCAGGTTATCTACAGGATATTAAATAATCCACCTGCCTTTAACTATTTTCTAAACTAGTTCAGGATTCAAGGGAGAGTATAAATAGAGAGATGAATGTACAGTTGAATAAGAACTAGAAGTACCTTCCAACTAACTTTCCCTGTTGCTTGCTTCTCCAAGGAGGCACAAGGAGAAGGAAATTTTATCTTAGGTGTCACAGTGTGACAGGGTTCTTTTTGAACTGGGGGTGTATTTTGCTTTGCGAGAGTGGCAACTGACACAGAAGAACAAGACTTTCATGCTTTTTTACTATTTGTAGTGAAGTTATTTACAGCAGTTATTTACAACAGGTACATACAGCATAGTTCCAGTTTTCACCCAGTGTCAAATTTCTTCCTC